ATATTCATGACCACAAATAATAATGGTGGTCACTGTTTGAAAACATAAAAGTTTTTATGTCTCTATATCAATTATACTCTACCGTTCAAAAGTTTGCGGTCTGAAAGTTTTTTTTCTTTTTTAAAGAAAATAATATTTTTATTCAGGGATGCAATAAATTGATCGAAAGTGACAGTAAAGAAATGTATAATGCAACAAAAGATTTATATTGCAAACAAATTCTGCTCTTTTGAACTTAATATTCATTATAGAATCCTGAAAAAAGTATCATGGTTTCCACAAAAATATTAGGCAGCACAACTGTATTTAATATTGATAATAATAAGAAATGTTTATCGAGCACAAATCAGCATATTAGAATGATTTCTGAAGGATCATGTGACAAATATATTAAAATAGAAAACAATTATTTTAAGTTGTAATACTATTTCACAATATTTCTGTTTTCACTGTATTTTGTGTTTTATTTTGATCAAATAAATCCAGCCTTTTTGAGCATAAAAAACTTCTTTTAAAAACATTTAAAAAATATTGCCGGCCCCAAACTTTTAAATGGTATTAAGACATTGGGTGTTTAAAAGGAAGAGTCTCTATTTTTTTGTTGCAAAAGGGAGACATGAGTCAAAAATAAATATTTTATGATTGTTGTTTTGACACTTCTAGTCCCACAAAGAGACGCATGCAGGCCATTGCCAACGTGTCCATCCTGGGGATGTTTGTCATGTACCTGCTCACTGCCATCTTTGGCTACCTCACCTTTTATTGTAAGCACTCTGGATTTTAAATGAAAAATTATGTCTAATGCTGCAAGTGAGGAATCACCGATACTGTCTGGTTACATGCTAGACTCTTTTTTTTCTCTGCCATCGTTCCATAGTTTCTCTGCTATAGTTGTTTCAAAATAATCAAGAACCTGTATCTGTTTACTTGTGTGTGTAATTTAAGCACGGCCTGGAAATAACAGTTAATCTCAATATATATGAATCTCTCTCAGTAAACACAGAGGCAGAACTTCTACACACCTACAGCAAGGTGGATCCTCTGGACACGCTCATCCTGTGTGTGCGTCTGGCTGTGCTGGTGGCCGTGACTCTGACTGTTCCTGTTGTGCTCTTCCCGGTAATGAGACTCTTCAGTGACAGAGTTTTATAGTGACATCCGACAAGCTTAGCTTGTTTTATACTTCTGAAAAGACAAAACTATGTTTTAACATAATGTTAAAATGTAAAGGGATACTCCACACAAAAATGAAAATGTTTTACTCGCACTTATGCTGTCCCAGATGACTGTCTTTCTTCAGATAAACACAAAGAAAAAAAAGACAATTTTGTGAGTGCACATGTTGCGTGTGTATGGGAAACCTTAAAAGTTGATGCTTCAAAAACCACACAAATTAAACATGATGGTAATCCATATGACCCAAGTTGATAAATCAGTGTCTTCTGAAGTGAAAGAATAGGAATGTGTGAGACAAATACTAATATTTTCAACTTTTTGGACTATAATCCAGCACTTTCAGCCAACTATCATATACTTGGTTCATGAGCTTGGTAAAGCGCTACATCAGCACTTTCACACAACGTGCTTAAATCACAATGTGGTCATGCTTACGTCAATCGTGAACTCATGAACCCGTGTAAGACAGTTGGCTGGAAACAATGGTTTACAGTTTAAAAAGTTTCAAATATTATTATTCAACTGGGGTGCAAAATATAGTGTCAACTTTGGAGGTCCCATTCACAGAATGAAAGACATATACATCTGGGATGGCATGAGGGTGAGTAAATGATGAAAGAATTTTCATTTTTGGCTGGAGTGTCTCTTTAATGTTGAAAGATTCAGTAAACAATTTTTGAATGTTTAAATTGTTTCAATTTCTGTTGTCGTATTGTATTTTCAGATTCGAAGAGCCCTTCTTCAACTTCTGTTCCCCGATAAGCCCTTTCACTGGTTGCGTCACATCTCTATTGCATTGTGTCTCCTTTTCATTGCCAATCTGCTCGTCATTTTTGTGCCCAACATTCGTGACATTTTTGGCATCATTGGTGAGTAAATAATGAAAATTGTAGACATGCACCTGAAGAAAATACCAGTGCTTGCAATGTAGCAAACAAACATTACTGTAGTTTTAGTTTAGTTGCAAGATAATCTAATAAGCATAAAAATACTTGGGTAAAACGATACATTTGTAATTCTGATAAACAATTTTTATTGATACCTTTCATTATCTAAAAGATTTATGTTCATTTAAAATATTTCTCCCTTTGCTTATTTGCATGAAGTTAAGCTCTGTTCATTGGCGTTTATAAATGGTTAGATATACTGTATGCTAGGAAAACAAGACCAATCACAAATCAGCATGCAGATATTACAATGATATAATCACTGGTGCATTTTGAATGCTGGGGAGTCTATCAATATATGTCAAAATGTGCGGTCACATTTACTGTTTACTGTAAATTTTCATGGTCGAAATCCAGTCATTTCAATAGGAATCTTCACAATTTGGAATTCTGTGTAAGGGAAGGTTTTCTACACAAATTTCACAACAGGTTCAGAGCGGTCACACAAATTTGCTGGTTCATAGATCTCTTTGACCACTGACACTATTGACAGTTAGCAAATGGACCTTTTTTGCCCAAATTTTGCTATAATGTGACCACACCTTCAGCTTAAATATCTTGTAGAAGTGTCATTTATTTTTTGTTCATTTCATAGGTGCAACCTCTGCTCCGAGCTTGATCTTCATTCTCCCAGGTCTTTTTTACATCCGTATCGTTTCCACCGAACCAATGAAATCAAGACCGAAAATTCAGGCATATCTCAAACTTTCTCTAAATTTTGAATCGATATAAGTTTCAAATAAATCAAGAGAATGTGATTCTATTATGGTTACCTGATAGTCAGATATTTGTAGTCATCAAAAGCTCCTGCTCTTGTGTTTCAGGCTGCCTGCTTCACTGCTCTGGGCTTCATCTTTATGAGCATGAGCTTGACGTTCATCACACTGGATTGGGTCTATGGAGAGAATCGAAGTGGAGGAGGTCACTGATCTTCAACCACAATACTGTAAGGGTCCAAAAAGCCTTCTTAGAGGAACATCACCACCCCTCTCCTAAACTTGAGAGAAACCAAAACATCACTTAGGCTGGACCCAACTCACCTCAGATCTGTTTTCCCACTAAGGAAAGGACTGATGTCCTGCCATCTGTAAAATTAAAATGGATAAAAATCCTATGTTTCATGGTGGAAGATTTCTGGGGGACACAGAAATGTCATGCCATTTTGAGGCTGTTTCTACAAACAGGCTTCGCAACGATAAATGATGCTTGTGTTGGAGATGGAATCCGCTAAATAGCTTTAAAATAATGCTAAAGATACAGCAGAATCCAAAATAAATAACTGAAGAGGTTTGTTTTGTCTGATGGAGACCAGGAAACAATCAAGTTGATCACATATCAACTGTTCTGTTGTCCCCATCAAATGAAAGCCATGTTCCCAGAGTGCAATACTAGGGAAATTGAAACATATTTTCCTACTTCAATTTGTTCGTTAAAAAATGTTGCTTATGATAAGAAAATTCAACATCATCTTAGAACGGCTGCAGACCTGAACTGAATCTGTCAGCTTCTGTTATATCTGAGAATGAAATAGCTGAATTTGAGAAAATGACCGGAAGAAAATGAATTTCAGTTGAGATGAAAATTGGTCCTGAAATATTATGTGCTATAATATGCACTACAATTGAAAACAGACAATCAGATTTACACCGTTTCACGTTTTTTTTTTCTACTGGATATCATATATTATGTCAAACATATGTGAGGTACGTACAGTAGCAGTATTTTGTGGTGCAGTGGGGTGGAATGCCATCTATCGTGAATAACTATGGTTAAGGTGCTTAATTACATTGCTGTGATGTATCTAATGATGCAAACAAGGCCTAACCTGTGAATTCAGTCATTCATGCCATAATCCCATTGATCTGTCTTAATCTAACAACAGGATAATGTGTCATAAATTGTCCAACCCATTTTTCCAAGGAATTTATGAAAAAGTAATTGTATAGGGCTGACAAATTTGTAAGTGGAAACAGAACTTTAAGACCTCACTGCATATTAAATTGTTACTCATGCAAAACAAATGCCTGCCCAAAACCTTTAAACAACAAAAGGAACAATGTCCCCTGTAGACTGAGACAATGCTTGAAAGTGAAAGATGAGCACACCTACTCACAGGATCAGAATATTACTAATACCATTAAAGGATGGCAATCCCCCTCCTCTTCAAGTTCCTACTGTCCTGCAGTGCCTATTTATTCTGTTTTAAGGGAAAATAAATACATTGTTTCAATGACTCTGTGTTTGTTATTTCATTAGAAAACAGGTGCCAAAATTGTATGAGGTTAAAGACTGACAGTTCCAATGTGAAACACAAATGCACCAAAGAGAGTTGGCATTTGAACAAGTGCCTTTTTCTACTGCTTTTACATTTGTTTGTTGGTTTCTGAACTGGCCTTTGACTTTGTCATACTTGCCATTTTCAATAAAGATTGTGTGGTCAGTATTAAAAAGTGCAATATGTATGCATTTATTTTTTGTGTACCCCTGAGAAGACCAACTGTATGCATAATGTCTATACTTATTGAATCCCTTATGACATATGAAAGCACTCTATCAGTATCGACTTCTTATTGTTCATTCCTTTACTTTCCTATTATCTCATTATCTTTAACATGTAAAAATGTTTTAAATAACTTTTAAATAATGAGGCAATTATAATATAATAATAAAAATATAACATGAATACATTAAATATTCAACGAGTTACTGTTAAATTACTGTGGTAATATATATATATATATATATATATATATTCTTTAAATAGTAAAGGAGGATGTACAAGGCGTTCCTCCTTTCTTTACGTAAGCGAAGGAACACGTGCCTGTCCATGACATTCTGAGAGCAGATCTGCGAAGTGGTTTTGTTCTTCCTGTTCTCTTTTGCTGTGCTGCATTTACATCAGATTACAGAACACGGAAGCAACAGTTCCTTCGAACCATTTGCCTTTTCTAAAAAGGCTTCACAGGTAGGTACTGTGGGCCAAGCAGGGGCCCCAGGTGTGGAGTCCCAAGATCTGAGTGTCCATTTCATCAAGAAGAGATGAGCAAAGGAAAAGTCAAGGGGCAGGAGAACGTGCACAGTTCTCTTCTCAGCAGCCAGGAGAATGAACGCCTGCTAGAGCTGCTGGGAAGGAGATGCATGGTGAGTGAAGTCACTTTGATTAGAAGGCCAATCATAGATGGGCATTCTGTCCCAGAGAGGATGTTTTGTGGATATACAGTAAATCAAGCAGGTATAAAAGAGAAACTCCTGAAAGGAGAGACATAGTGCAGAGGTCACAGATGAGATTGGAGCTGTTACTGTTGATGTCAGTTAAAGGTCAAAGTAAAACACTTTTTCTTTGTTTTCTTTTTCTGTCTTTTTTTTTTTTTTTGAAAGAAGATGTTTTTCTAAGTCCGTCTGTGTGCAAAATGAAAAAGTTGAAAAGATTGCATACACAACTCGTCTGTGACAATCTGTGACAGAATATGCTATACAAGCCAAAGTATTTAATCCAATGTTCCACCTAGGAAAACTTAATAAAACAGTATTTTTTTCAGAATATACATTTCACAACATTGTTAAACTGTCGGCAGTGATGACTGATGTGTGTAACGGCAAAGTTTAACAGGAGAGCGACAGGAAATGCTGTTTGAGGCCACTTCCTGTTGTTGTAGAGGATGCTAATGTCTTTGCTTTAGCTTTCATTGTAATACTTCACTGATTAGTCTTTTATTAATGCACTTTTATGTCAGTTTATTGTGTTTGTGTGTGCAGACCATGGCCACAGCGGTTGTTCAGTTGTACATGGCTCTTCCTCACAGTCCGACCCAATGGAGTCTCCAACATACAGGAGTTGTGTGTTTCGTTAAGGACAATCTTAAACGTTCATATTACATCCGTCTCTATGACATAAAGGTCAGAAATTCAGATTCTAATCTGCAGTGTAAAAAAAACCTTAAAGGGGTCATATGATGCGATTTAAATTTTTCCTTTCTCTTTGGAGTGTTACAAGCTCTTGGTGCATAAAGAAGATCTGTAAAGTTGCAAAGACTAAAGTCTCAAATCCAAAGAGATATTCTTTATAAAAGTTAAGCGTCAACCATGCCTACCTAAAACAGCTC